CCTGCTCTCAAAATAGCTTAGAGGAGAATTGAGATGGCTCTGGATCATTTTTCAGATCTGGAATGAGGTGTACCATCTTACCAACAGAGCAAAGACAAAACTAATTCGTTTGTGGACTTGTGTTACACTCAAGAACCACATTCCACATTTTACTAATTTACACAACAATACTAACTCATGGGCTTGCATGGTTGTATAAAGGGACAAAATGTGACCACCTCTGCCTTCTATTCTATTTACTTACTCTTTGCAATGTTTTTCATATGGCTAGACTTCTGGTATACATTTGCTAATCCAAACAACACAAAAATTGCACTACAGTATAGTATTTCCACCTTTATCTGAGACTATGCAAGTAATAAAGAGTCCCAACTCCTTTATTAATACACCAATGATAACATTCTGTGCTGTAAAAAGAATGGACTGTTGAAATACAGTTTATAGGTGTTGGGTTTTTTTTTTTTGCTTAACATATCGTTTGTTGTGCAATCGATCTTTCTTCCTTTAAGTGTTTACAGAACCTTAATCTTTTTGAGCTGATTTTCTTTTTGTTCAGTTTGGTGCCAAAGAGGACATAAAAGATTCCATGTGAGATTACATCGCTAAAACCAAAAGGAAAATATTAGGAACAAATATAATATTTTGAGGTTTCTTAGTTTGTTTTACCTCTAATACTGGGCAGACTGTTTACACAAATCATTTTGCTGTAAAGTAACACATAATGAGTTAAATGTGTGCAGTGTCACCATCAATCATGTTCATTTGTGTTTGACTGACCAAACATTTATGGCACATTAAATCACTTTCTAATCACGTTATGAAGGAGGAGGAACAAACACACATTTCAAGCGTTCTTTAAAAAAATACAGAAGTTTCAGTACATTTTCCTGGCAATCTCCTAGCTTGTGGGCGACTCCACTAATAATGTTTGCCCAAGGAATTTATGAAGGTCTGACAATACTTAAATTCAGTGCTCTAAATGAAAAGGGGTGGAAGTTCTTTCAGGGAATGGACATCTTTCTTTTCAATAGGGTCCTCTTTAACAATTCCAATCAAAGTAGCTGCTCTCCTACAATACACTGTTGATTCAAAGCCACCACTAAGTAATAGTTTTCTCTTTCAAATACAGTTTTAAGAGTGAGACAGCTTGGAGAAAGAACATCCTTTCAGCTAAATAAAGAAACAAACCTTTTGCTGTCACCAATTGAGTTGGATTCTCATGAAGAAATATGTCTCAGTTCTTGTACGTTTATTTTGCTTTAGATTTTAATATACTCAGAGATCTTTGGAAATGACAATATGCATTTTACTTGCCCAGACAATTCATTCTTAGTTAAGTAGCAGACATCTTTTTAACCAGTACTAACAGAGTCTTGCATTCTCCCAATGCACTATTTGATGGCATTTTTTTCTCTCAGTGCCATCTGAAGATGACATCTGAAGTAACACAAGTTATGTCTGTATCCTATTCTGTTTCTAACTGTATATAATCACAGATACAAGAGCAAAGCTGACATTGATAGCTTCCTCCAAATCAAAATCATGGCTATTTTTATGCTCATTCTGTGTATATAGAAATACTCAGACGTAATCTGAGTAGTGCCTTGCAAAGCTGAGCCTTCAGCTTAAAACTGTTCATCAGTGAGATAGTCCAGTCTGTCACTTGTACTGAAATTATTATAAGAATATCTTATAAGAAAATATAGGATTGAAGGTAGGTAAGATAATGGCATAAGTGGTTTGATATGTTTTCTGGAAAGATGATACCTTTACATTTGCAGTTTTTGACTCGTCTAAACATTTTAACTACAAATCCAGGCCATAAATGTGTGTGTCTCTAATACAGTTCCCCCATAGTCAGATATGTGTACACTTTACCACTTCTGAATCTCTCAATTTTCTCACTGCAAGTTTAAATTCAGTATTAAGATAACTTGCATTAAGACTGGGGCTTCTGAAGATACCCATATATTTGGATCTCCTCGAGAGAAAACTGATCCCTTCTGATTCTGGAAAGACAGAAGCTGAGCAAAAGTTTCAGGCCTGCTTCTGATTTCAAGAGCAAGTTCATAGAACAGGTTACCTCAGTAATTTGGATACATTAGTGTGACTGTTACAAATGTTTGAGAGTCCTGAGAGTGTTGGGTTACCACACCAGACAAGAGTGAGGCAGACCAAAATGACCAGCAAGAAGAATGAAGTTCATAAGAGATACAGTTTTCTTTTGGGATATAAATAGAAAGGATTAATATCAAAGTGACCATACGCTGATGAGTCATAGACAGTTCCCAAGTTTGACTCTACTGAAGCAAAACAGCTTTTTTTTTTTTCAGAACATGAATAAAGATGCAAACATCGTAACTGCAGACAGTAAAGTGCAGAGCCCAGGCTTGTTTCTGTATTGAAAACTGGCATTTTTTTGACTATATGTAATAGTCTGGAATATTTTTGACATACAGGAGGCTGCTGTCTCCAATTTTTTGGGGGTCTCCAGAGGATACCTTAGTAAGAATTTCAGGATGTCACAAGAACTACATAAAGACTCACTGCCCTGCACTGATATGTGCACCTCCATGAGAACAGTCCTGGCTTTCTCACCTGAGGATATTAGGAGTTTTTTGGGGTTTTTTTTGCTTACTTGCACAATGGACTTGAAGTGGACCATGGCCTACCTTGTACGCCACTGTTTGAACTAGTACAGCGGCCATAGAAGTCTAGGCATAACTGAGTTAAAATTTTGCCACGTAAATCCAAAAGAGCTCTTCTACTGAGGAGAAACAAATACACAAATGATGTTGTAGGAAGTTCAGGCTTCAGCTCCAACACATGTTCCTTATTTACTCTCACAGCCAGAAGTCCACTAGCCACTTGATGTAGAAGACCAAAATGATCAGTCCTTTTTTCTGGGCGCTTTGTTGCTATATGGGACATATATAAATCATATTTTTGTTTTAGCAGCAGGGGCTTTTCTCGTAGATAAACATGTGTTTTGTCTAAAACAAAGTAAAACACAAAACACCAGAAATATCTCCCTGGAAATGGATGATGCTTTGAACAATCATTTAAAGGCCAAACACTTGCTGAATAAAAATAAAAACATAACTTGACAGAACCTGGCTCATTGCCCAATTTGCAGCAGAGAACTTTTGTATGTAAGTGTGTGCTGTTTTTTTCGTCTTACAAAATCTATTAATGTCTTCCTATCTGTTTCATATTTGAGCCATGTTTTCTACTCAGCTCTCTGACAAACTGAATTGTGGACTAATACATTTTAATGAGACAAGACATTACCTTTATGAATGACCTCATAGAGAAGAGGTTGGCTAACATTGTTGAAAGGCCCGGTGCCAGGCAGCTCTGGGCTATGAAACCCAGCTTGAGCTCAGCAAGACAGATTGCATCATCCCCTTCTTTCCAGTTCCAGCTTGGGATATTTAGCAGATGAGCCTGGAAAAGAAACAAACAAATGAAAAAAAAACCACCGGTGAAGAACCAGAAATACTTCCTCAAATATAGTACAGTATTGAAGGAGATAGCAGTGAATGATTTTCTTTGTTACTGGCTTGACTTTTTCTGAGCAGGCAGAATCACTCCAAGTACTTTAGAGTTGCCAAGTCTATGCTAAGAAACGTTCCAACTATATTACCTATTATAGACAAAATCTTACATTTCTTAAGCCATATTCTGGCTGTGACACTCTGCCAGGCCCATCCTCACACCTGAACAAACCACAGAATGTTGTAAAGTTTTCCTTCCCTTCTGTGTATTCCTTTTACAGCACTTTGAGCTACTCTCTGACTGATAAGGCACATACATAATATACAGGTATCTAACATAACTTAGATTACAACTTGTGTGAAGCTGCAACCTTTGTAAGACTTTATCATTTAATAAGGTCTACAACATCATCTCTCTTTTCTATTTCATTCCTTCCACCCTGAAGGATAGCACTTGACTTAGTGAAAATCCAAACTTTTTCCTAAGACTGCTAATTATAAGGATAGAATAAAGAAAATAGCTAGTCAAGACAGACCTCCAGTATTGACACTGGTCAGTTAGACAGGTATTAATATTGTTCAGTTATTGGCATAACTCTATGAGATTCTCTCTTCCATGTGCCTTATAGAAATGCATAGACATAAGGAAACACAGAGGCCTTTATGCTTGTTTCCCTTCATAAGTAATATTACAGTTCAGCGCTTTGATAAAAGCTATTCTTGAAGACACATTCATTGGAAATACAAGGAAAAACGCAGTATTTGAAAGATCTTCCCCTCTGAACCTGTTTAAAGCAGAGAAACACCTTGCTTTTATTCTATAAAAAGACAGGCTCCTTCCATTCACGTACAGGAAGAGGACATCACAAGCAACAGTAATTGCTCTCATTCTAGCCAAAGATTACAGGTATAAGGAGTTGTTAGCAGTCAAACCTTCTGAGTACCAGGATTATTGTACTTCATTGAATGAAGGTCTACCCAGCCAAGCCTTTTCTCCAACACTGGGCAGTGACGGAAGCTTTTAGAAACAATAAAAGCAGCAGGTCACATATGAGTAGTCCATCCTCTGATATATTCTTCCTAGCCCTGTTCATCAGCAGTTTATGGACTTCCTCATCTCAGGATTGAATGAATTGACTCCATTGCGTTTAGAGGCCACAGGTTTACCATCAAAAATTTGCCAAATTCCTTTCCAAAGTGGATTTATAATTTTGATCTCCACAATATTTTTAGGAACAAATTTCACAACTGAATTATGTTTTATATGAAAAAACACTTAATTTCATTTATTTTGTACCTGCTACTTGGCAATTTCAGGTCTACATTGTCATGCAAGAAACACAAAATCACAATAAATCTCCACTAAGACAATAACTCTATGCTTTTTATTTTTTAAGTACCCACAAAGAACTGACTTCAGATGACTTGCCTAGAGGCCACCAATTCATCTTGGGTAGCTCTAGTGTAATAAGATGAGCAAAACTTACAGAAGCTGAGTGGTTAAAAGCTCATCTGGAATCAATAGTAACTATGGACACTGTAGCTTTAAGAATGAGACCCTAGGCAATTAATAAATGTCAGAGGATTTTGATAAACTCCCTTGCATATATAAATAAAACTGAATTACCTTGTAATTGGATTACATGACAAGGCTTATTAGGACATTTTTGTTTGGAAAGAAAAATACTTACTATTAGTGGAGATAGAAAAACTGTGTATGAGTGAATGCAATGTAGCAAAAACTCTGGGGAGAGACACTGTTGGTTGCCACGTTACCTTATTGTGATACTGCAACATCTGAGTGATAATTCTTATCTTCGGATGATAATTCTTTATTGAAATAACTCTAAAAAATAAAAGAAAAACCAAAATAACTTTCAGCTGGTGGGATACTTAGATAATGTATCCCAATACCTTTACTCTACTGTGTTGTCAAGTCCCACAATTAAAACTGTACCCTCTTATTCATCTGGCTGTAGAGCATACCGATTGAAGTCAGACCTATGCAATATTTACATCTAGTCAAATTCAGTTAATAACCGTCAGCTAATACTAGAGAACATCAAGCTTGATGGTTGAATGGTTTACTCTTACGGAATTTGCAGAAAAAGAAACTTGTTTTAGCAGCTCTGTTCAGACACTGTGCTCATTCTGTTAAGCAAATAATACCCTTGCAATTACTATGTCACCTTCAGTGATTATCTTCATGTCTTTGAATCAACATAATTGATCAAGTTTTCAAGTCTGAAAAGAATCTGTTTCTTTCTGCCCCACCATATAATATTTATTTATAGTTGCTAGACATTCATCGTATTTAAACATCTTGAATAATGTTTTTGTTTGACATAAATCCACATGCAAACTCATCTTAATTTTTGTGGATTATTCCAAAGCTCAATATTGAAACTGATATTTGAACTCTGAATTTATAAAACATGGGGCCACTTCTATAATCTGAGCTTGACTGCATTCTTAATTATTTAATGAGCCTAAGATATACTCAACTGTGTACAGATTAGAAGTGGCTGGAAAGAAAAATGTTTGAGAAATGAGTGGATTGATAACGTGTTATGAAGAGAGGAACATACAATTTGGAAATTAAAAAAGCACTGAAGAAAATTAAAGCGAGAAACAAGCCAAAAAAATCAGTTCTGTACATACAAACTAAAGGTAGAAAAAGAAGATAAAACAAACCGAAAAATAGTCTGAATTATTATGGAATCACCAGTCTCATAAGACTCTGAATGCCATAACTGTTGACATTGGTGTTTTGTAGGAAGTATTTTGCAAACTGCTGGTCTGGCTTGCGCTTTGAAGCCTATCAAAGCTAGAGCATAAAACAGATAAAAAAAGTTGTATGCATGATTTTAATTTATGTTCTCTTTTGGAAGGAAAAAACAAGTCTTCCTTCTAATTTTCCATTTCTTACCGAATTATTTAATTAAACATTCAATTTTGTTGAATTAAATTCATTTAAATGTGAGAAAACTCAAGAGAATTCCACTCTCAAAATAACACTTTTGCATTTTATTACATTAAATGTATTAAATCTATTAAGAATGCACTAATCTGCAACTGGAATATTTTTGATGTGTTTACGCAATTAATGTCAAAACAAAGTTTCTTGCGTTGAAACTCAAAAGCATGTTTGGAAAATGAAATTAGGCATATTTAAACCCTGCACCTTCCACAGACTGCCAGATCTCCTGCACCCAGCGAACTTCTTCCAGAGCAGTAATTTTATTAATTTTTTTTTTTTTTATTTCTCCCCTTCCTTCAATTCACAGCATGCAAACATCTATCAGGCCAGTAAAATTGGTTCACAACACTGGCCAATTCTATGTTAGAGAATTTTTAACAAATAATTGAAATTTTAATTTTAAAAAGGAGAGACTGGTCTCATTAAAAGTAGGGTTGTATGAACAAAACACAGAAAATGGAATCGTTGATCTTTGTTGTAACTCTAGCTACCATCTACTGACTGACTCTTTCATCTTCTTTCTTCAGAGAACATAAGAAGGAAAGCAGGACAAGATCTGGTGATCCCTAGCGTGGTAAGTGCCTTGTCAATCAAAATAAGCAATGTTTGATCTTCAGTGTAAAAAAAGGAGGATGGAGCTAGGAGACCACTGTATCGTTACCATCATGAAGCGTTTACCTTGCTTTCCCCCAAGCAGCGTAATTACTTGTAGAAGTAGATACACCAAGGAGCAATGAGGCATGAAGTGATGAAGGGTCCTTCTGTCCCATCATTAACACCAGCCCACTCAGTACAGGAACTCACGTAACATGTTGTTGCAACAACATAACTGCATTCCCTTTCCTCTCATTTCTATTGGGACTGCATTCAGCTCTGAATACTTAAACCCTAGGTCCTGCAAAATAACTTGAGTACCAAAGCTTGTGCTCCAAGCGTCTCTTCTGACACGCTCTTTCTAAAGGAGCTAAAATAAAACAGTTTAGGCAGGAATTTAGAGTATCCTCATCTCTGAACTTTTGAGATAATCTTGTAATTTGTCCCCTAAAAAAAAAAAAATCCTGCAATGTTCTTCAAGTGCAACAGATCAGCAATAAAGCTGTGTGTGGCTACTGCCTATCTGGACACCAGAAGTTATCTAATCAGAGTTAAGAACAAAAACCTATTAAAAACTAATGAGTTTACCTCATAATATTGGAGGCATCTTCAGCATCTGGGTCAGCGCAGTATTTATTGGCAAGGATTAGGCACGCATCTGCTGACTCTATCTGAGACACCAAAGAAAAAGCAAACATAAATAGCAACCTCTCTTTCCAGCTCTTCTTTCATCATGAAGGATTAGGGAATCCAACACTGCCATCATGAGTGTGAATATCAGTTCTTAATACTGCTAATCAAAAATGTTACAAGGCTAACGTGAGTTAATGTGGGTGATGATAACGGCTCTCTCATACACATAGCAATTTCTTGAAACTTGCTTATGATGCTCAGACTAGGTCAGTAGTTCAATTATTGACTCGTGTTGTATCAGCTGAGGCATGAGGGTGTAAATAGACATACTTTTTGTAACCAGATACTGAAATTTAGACCCCTAAACCCATAGGAAGTTCCTGTTATGTCAGTACAGTGCTCCCACAAGTCCTGCAGCTTCGTTTGGGGATTTAAGTACCTTCCGATTACAGACAGGAGGAGGCGGCTGAACTGGTGATTTAGAATCTGAGCACCAGTTTTAGAAAGCACGAGGAGGAGAACTGATCTGTTCACAGGACCTCTATGTTCACACAAACCTTAGCTCTATTTAACCCAAAGCAGATGACAAAAGTATTTTTCAGTGTATACAACCAAATACCAACACAAAGAAGGGTGGAAAACAGAACACAAAATACCAACACACAATTTTATGGTCATAATTAGAGCATTTTGTTCAGATGAACTGAAACAGTGTGTGTTGGGCTACAAAAGGTTAAGCAATTTCGGCAGCCAAAATGGACAAAAGACATGATTAATACTCCAGAAAGTGTTAACATTGCACTAAAATATTCTTGGCTTAAGTAGCCGGTTTACATTCCATTTAAAAAAAGAAACATAAAAGAGTTAATGCTGTATCTGACAGCTTGCCATCTTTTTTTTTTTTTCATTTAAGCTTCATGCTTCATGCTTTGCTTTAAGAGTACAAAATAATTTACCATGGAGAATTCTAGACAATAAAGCCATCTCATTTTAGCTACCAAAAATCTTAAATTGTATTTTTTTCCCCAGGATTCTAGACAATAGAAAAAGGGTTTGACAAGTGAAAAACTATTTTCTAATCATTCTGATGAAGGTAAGACAATAGCATTTTAAGCAATTACTGTAAGACAATGTTCTATTATATCAAACATTAATGTAAAATAGACTCTTGAACTAAACCCCAATGAAAAATTCATAAAGAGTTCAATGGAATGGCAGACAATGTATCTTAAGTCATAGCGTTACCTTAGCTTTGAAGATCTAAAGATATAGGGAAAACGAGGTTTATAAGGAGAGATATTATAATTTATTAGGCAAGCTAATAGAGATGGAAAAACAATCTTTTGGGGTTACATGAAGAAGAGCTTTACTGGTTGGGTTTTTTTCCAAATAATGCAATGAGTACTTTAAAAAAGTCAATTAGCAGGAGAACAGAACAACAGAGCTGTTACCTTCACTCTCGCCAGGTCATGGGGATTAAGGACTGAACCCTGATAAAATTCCACCTGAGTGAAGTGTCGTTTAAAAAGAGCTTCCAGCTCAAGGTTAGGGGAGATACTGCATTGGGAAGAGGAAGAAAACACAACAGCAAATGAGAAGTCAGTTTCCATAACTGCCCCATTTCCTTCATTTATAAACCACCCCATTTCTTTATTTTCGGTATGCAGACTTCTGCTGGTGCTTTTCCTGTGGTGTGGAAACAGCGTGCAGTACTTAAAAGACAAATGCTACACCGCTTTCACTTCCTTCCTTCTGTCTACAGAGCTCCTGGCCCACCTCACTGTGCTGCTCT